ACTCATGAGCATAACCCCATTCAGTCTTTATCTCCTAAACTTGGGGCGTGATTAGGCCAGAGCCGATTTTAAAGCAGGAATTCTATTTTTTTTTAAAGGAGATTAAAGTTGGCCTAACATTGGCCCCGTTCATTTCACCGATTCGAGTTTTGTTACAGTAAAAAGCTCTCAGAAACAGTCACATCTAATTTTTTTACTACAGTAAAAAGCTCTCACATAAAGTCACATCTCAATTTGAATTAAAAACTCGAATCAATGAACTAAACGGGAATATATATCTCTCTCCCCCTCTCTCTCTCTCTCTCTCTCATCAGGAAAAAAAAAAAAAGTAGAAGCCTAAAAACCCCAATTGAAACAATGGTGACATGACTATATGCATGACATGCTTTGATTGAGAGTAAAAACATACTCCGTTTAGTTTGTTGATTCGAGTTGAAATGTGATTTTATATGTGAATTTTTTATTGTAATAAAAAAGTTAGATATAACTGTTTGTGAGAACTTTTTACTGTAGCAAAACTCAAATTTAAAACTCGAATAAGCGAAATGAACAGAAAATTATGCAAAGACTCATTTGTCCTTAACTCATCCTTTATATTACACAGAGGCAAAACGGCAATTTTAGAGCTCCTAGTCCTACTCATGGCTTTATATGGATTCGATACTCAATACCTCACTTTAAAGTGGAATGAAAATGATACTAATTACTAATGCTTTTTTTTTTTTAGCAGCAATAAATGTAGTAGGTTAAAATGGAAGTATATAAAAGCACCAATGACATAAATATCTAAATATTAGTTGATAATTTAAGAACTGTCTACAATTTTACTTTATTATAAAGCTATCTAAAATTACGTTTATAACGCCACTACTACCTTAATAATAATAGTAGTACGAAAATTACGATTTTATGATAAATAAGATTAAAAATTTGAGAAGCCAGCGGTGTTTGTGTGCAGTATACAAATATGATCATTATTATAAAAATTATAACTTTACGGCGAAATCAAACAACAAAAACTCCACAATAAGTAACACGTGAATATAAGGTATATAATCTTATCATTTATGATACTGAAATTAGATAATAATAAAAAATTTAAGAAGCTTCTAATTAGGAACGTGCATTTTACCCGCGGGTGCAGGTACCTCAAAAAAGACAGGTATAGGATTTACTAAATGGAAATGGAGTGGGTACAAGGTTTTAAATTATAAAATAGTAAAAAAAAAAAAAAAGGAGTTAAAACTTTAAAAAAAAATAAAGCACCTAAACTCATTATTTAGAATTACCATATGACGGATAACAACTAAATATCTACTTTTTAGTTTACTTAGGACTAGGATTAGGATTCAACGTGTATGGAAAACAAAAGAAAGAAATTAAAAGTTTTAAAAAAATAAAGCACCAGAGAGAGAGAGAGAGAGAGAGAGAGAGAGAGGGTGGAAAAAAATATCAAAATGGTGCGTAAATGATTTAGAAAATAAACAGTATAGTTTTCACCAATTATTTTTATATTTAGCATTTATTATTTGGATAAAATAGGATTTAGCATTAAGATTATAATAAAAAGTAAAAAAAAAAAAAAAAGACAACATATGATGGTCCATAATCTAGATTATCTACTAACAAATCGTTTTTTTTTTTTTATTATTTCAAGTGTTTTTAAAGGGAAAAAAATGAAACAAAAAGAGAAATAAAAAAAAAAAGTGAAAGAAGCAAAGAACCAAAACCATTTTCAAAGGAAAAAAAAAAAAAAAAAAAAAGAGGGCCGCGATGACTAAAAAAGGAATAGTAGAGCCATGATGGCTATTTTATATGTGTGTAGGATAGTAGTGATATAGAAGGCAGCAAAAAAAAGAGCAGGGGCATATTTTTGAAATTTTATTTTAGTAGGACAAATAGATAATTAGAAAGAAATTTATAAGAATAGCTTTTAATATATAGTATATTAGAGCACTACCGAAAGGAAACATCTAAGTAAGATAACTTTGGGAAAAATTTAATTAGGGTAAATGAAAGAAAGAAGTTAAAAAAAAATGGTAAGTACGAAGAATATAAAATTTTGGGAAAGAAAAGAATAAGAAAAAAAGAACATAAAAAGCTAAAAAAACACCAAAAGTCAAAAAAAAAAAAAAAAAAAAGCTCAAAGCTGTGCATTGAAAGAAATTTGTGAGAATAATATTTTCTAAATGTCATCACAGAGCTTATTTATTGTGGTGGCGGTATATTAAAGCACTACGGTAAAGAAACATCTACTTAGGATAACTTTTAGGAAAAACTTAATTGGGGTAAATAAAAGAAAAAAGTTAAAAAGAAATGGCGTTTGGTTCATGAATTTAAATTATGTGATTAGAATCATTTTTAATTTACGTGTATTTTTTATGATAGAAAACACTGTAACGAATTATGAACAATGATTCGAATCAAGAAACGAATCTAGGCACCAAACGGACTCACGAAGAATATAAAATTTTAGAGACGAAAAAGACAAAAAAAAAAAAAAGCGCATAAAAAGACAAAAAAAAAAAAAAAACAGAGGGAAATGTCAAAGTTGTGCATTTTGGACGACCCAAACGCTACAACACTTCTACTCTTTTATATAGTAGTGATTTGCACTATTATTGTTTTTTGTCATCACTTTTTTTTATTGTAACATGGTATATAAATGGTAAATGGAGACAGCAAAAAATTAATTGAAAAGAAAATAAACATAATTATAATATTACAAAATAATAGATTATAAAATTGAGAGCTTTTATGGTAAGATTGAAAAAAATAAATTACTTTTAATTCTCTACATTTTAGCCGTCAGATTTGTATAAAAAATTATCTATTATGTATATTTTTTTTAATCTTATGTAATTTTAAGCATATCAATGATCAAAAACTGATGCTATTAATAGACTGACTTATTTAATAAGGTCCTTGTAAGAGGAAATAACAAAAGCCCAAGAATTTGCTTCGAATTACCTACTATTTGATGACTAAAAGAGAAAAAAGAATAAAAGTATGAGCGTGACATTAAGACTGTGTGTGATTTTAAGCAGATGAATAATTAAAAACTGATTCTATCGATAAATTGACCCATTGATAAGGTCTTTGTAGGAGAAAATAACAAAAGCCCAAGACTTTGCTTCGAATGACCTACTATTTGACAGCCAAATGAGAGAAAAGAATAATAGTGCGAGCGTGACATTGAGACTGGGGTCCATCCGTTGAATTGTCAAGACTCAATATGCAATAATGTGTCCTCATTCCAATCCCTTCCCCAGATGATACTGCTACAACAAATAGTATCTATGTACTTTTTTTCAAAAAAAAAAAATAAATAAATAAATTCCTCCCTATTTCGTATGCGTCAATTGTGAAATGTAAGACGTTCGGTAAAAGAATTCATATTCTGATTCGAATTACGATTCATAATTTGTTACAGTTTTTTCTCTCATAAAAAATACACGTAAATAAAAAATGATTCTAATTTCATGATTCTAATCCACGAACCAAACGTCTTGTAAGTGAACGTTTAATTTATGAATTTAGAATTATGATTTAAAATTATTTTTATTTTACGTGTGTTTTTTTGAGAGAAAATACTATAACGATTCGAACTATAACACAAATATCTCTTCTAAACACACTATAATATGAAAATGTATATTATGATTTGAATCATTATTTATAATTCGTTATTATGTTTTTTTTATAAAAAATATATATAAATTAAGAATAATTCTGAATTTATAAATTAAACGTCATTGACTTTTTATCAAAAGAAAAGGAAAGAAAAGAATTCAACAAAACGAAAAGAAAAGAATAAAAAACCAAAATGTAACTTAAGAAAAACGTCATCTGGGCAAGACTCACCAACAATTATGACTCGAGTCTTGGCGCGCTGAATCTTGGCGCAGCCGTAGCCAAAAAGCATAAGAACAGAGTGGAAGATATAAACTTTGATGACATACCAATGCTTTCATTTATAGCCTACATTTTCTAACCGGCAATCACATTAAAATTATAACAATTTAAAAAAGTATAACAATTTAAGAAAATTTGGTCAGTATTTTCAAGTTTTATATCAATTCTCAGTTTAATACTTGATATTTAAAACGTTCTAAGATTAACCGTAATCCCTTGTGTCTTCGATGTGATAAACGATAGAAAACAATACTTGCAAAGTGTGTACTGTGCAATTAAAATGTTTAAATACCCTTGTGTTTGGTTCATAGATTTAGAATCATGATTCAGAATTATTTTTTATTTACGTGTGTTTTTTGTGAGAAAAATATTATAGCGAATCATAAATCATAATTTGAATCATAAAAAACTTGAATCGGTAAAATGAACGGGGCCATAATTATTTAGAGCGTCTTAAACTCAAAAGACTGAAATGAGATATGACATAAAGTCTCATGTCATTTTGAGATTAATAATAATAAAAATTGATAGAATCTATGTAAATTAGAGTTTATAATTAAAAAGAGTTAAAATTTTGAGTCTATTTGTGAAAATTAATTTTTGATTTTTTTGTATTGTTTTAGTTTATAATTTTTACAAATTTTGAAGGACCGAAACTGAAACTGAATAAAATCTCATATACTAATTATGTGAAGTTTGAAAAGTCATAGACGAAAGTGATATTGAAGCTAATGTGACGTTTATTTTAAGAGTTATACCTAATTTAAAATTATAATTTTTAATTCTGTTACAATATTTTTCTCTAATAAAAAATTTAAATTTTAAAAATTAAAATTATAAACTATAATTTTAAACTCATAAATATCACATAAATTTTAAGAACTATGTATGAGATTAATTCCAATAAAATTGAGGAGAAATACACACCGGAACGGAGACACTGAACGTGGGCATGACAGGGGCTTTTTTAACAGATTCCTTACGAAATAAAACTTTTCCATTTCTTTTTGTTCTAATTAATAATGATTTAATTTACTATATAAAATAAAATCTCAACCAAAAGCCCTTCTACTGACTCTCTCTCTCTCTCTCACAACAGAAGCGAAAAGAAGTCATTTTTTCCAACTATTTTCTCTCCTTCTCCTGTTCAAAGCTCTCACCTTCCTCCGTAGCTCCCACTCAGGTAAGTCTCTCTCTCTCTCTCTCTCTCTCTCTCTGTTTCTTCTGAATTTCGGCGCTTAATTTTGATCCTTTTTGTTTATCTTCACTGAAATTTCAGAACTCGTAGCTAAAAGCGATGGAATCAAGCTTCTGTTGGGAAAATAAATAAATAAATGAGAAGCGAAAAAGAAGTAATAATTGCGTAATGTGAGACAAAGTGGATGGACTGGAGAAAATTTGATGTTTAACTGTTTGAATTTGGGGGATATATTAATTTTGATTGCTACTGTTGGGAAAAAAGAGGACAAAAAAAGAACGAAGAAATAATTGGGTAATGCAAGAGAGTTAGAGTGAGAGAGAAATTGATTTCTAATTGGGAGCAGATTTCCACTGCTTTTGTTGGGAAAGAAAAACGACAAAAAACAAAAACAAAAAAACAAAAGAAATAAATATGGGCGTGATATAGTGGTGAAAATTTGATCTCTAACATAATTGGGAGAGAAGATTAAAGGTAGAAATGGAGGCGAAATTTGGAGGCAAGGGTCGTCACCACAAGCATTTATGTGGGCCAGTGGTCGGTGGGAAGAAGAGCTCTTCATTTGAGTGGGATTTGAATGACTGGAGATGGGACGGCGATCTCTGCACAGCCACGCCGTTGAGCTCACTCCCCGCACCGGCATCCGCACCCGCACCCAACTGTTGTTCCTCTCTTTCGGACGAGAGAGAGGAGCGGGATTCGGAGAAGCGAAGAAGGGATGCGGTGGTGGTCGGTGAGAATAATGGAGAAGAAGAAAAGGGGTTGAAGCTTGGCGGGCAAGCCTACCCCATTATAGCAGAAGAAGGGGAGGTCAAGGCTGGGAAGAAATCCAAGGTTGTGGGGACGGAGACTGCTGCTGCTGCTGCTGCTATTGCTGCTGCTACTGCTGCTACTACAGGTTTGAATTCCGGACGCAGCGCAGTTTGTCAGGTGGAGGATTGTAGAGCTGATCTCACCAATGCCAAGGACTACCATAGGAGGCATAAAGTCTGCGATATGCATTCCAAGGCGAGTAAAGCGCTTGTTGGAAGTATTATGCAGAGATTTTGCCAACAATGCAGCAGGTAATTGGATCATTCATTCGTGGCTGTTGTTGTTTTTTTTTTTTTTTTTTTTTTTTTTTTTTTTTTTTTTTTTCAATACTAATGATGATGAAAATGTTTAAGGTTTTAATTTCTGAGGTTGGTTGTGTTTGATTCTCTATGACCTCTATTACTCTTGTATGCTCAGGCTTGGGTTCGAAGCTCTTTAAATGTGGTAGGATTCTGCAGATTTTCTGTTCATTTCCCTGTTTGATATCCCAGAAAACTTCCAAACCCACTTAGTAATTTTAAATGTGAAACAAGAGCCCATGTCAAATTTATAGTCTTTGAATCATGATCATAGAGTTCTTCAGAAAATGGTTCCTTTTATCCGGATATACACAACTTGGTTATACTTTTGGGCAGGTTTCATGTTCTTCAAGAATTTGATGAAGGGAAGAGGAGTTGCCGTAGGCGTTTGGCTGGTCATAATAGGAGGAGGAGGAAAACACATCCCGAAACCACAGTCAATGGAGGCTCTCTGAATGATGAAAGGGGAAGCAGTTATCTATTGATAAGTTTGTTGAGGATACTCTCCAACATGCACTGTTAGTCTTTGTTTCATTGCTTATTGATTTTAAAAAGTTTTAGTGAGATTCTGAAATTATTTTATTTGGTTCCTTTTAAATGATCATGGCCTCTGAAAATTATTTTTGTTTTGTGATTTGATATTTCTACAATTAACTATTTTAGCCTTGTCCACAACTCAAGGAAGTTTATTCCTAATTCTTATTAAAATTCAAGTAAATGTATTCATTCCCTTATGAAGTTAAACCTGCTGTAAAAATTGCTATAATTGCTTATTTGACTCCACAGATTATGCCTTATATAATTTGCAGCAAACAGCTCAGATCAAACGAAGGATCAAGATCTTCTATCGCATCTGTTGAAGAGCCTTGCCAGTATTGCTGGTACAGTTGACGGAAGGAACATATCAGCACTTCTGCAGGGTTCTCAAGGGTTAGTTAATGCTGGCATGTCCGTTGAGGCGTCAAAAAAGCCGCTAGATATGATTTCTGATGGCCTTGAACCCTGTAAGCCTTATGGTTCAACATCTAAGGTGGACAATCCCACAAATCTTGAGGCACCTTCAAACTTTGAAGGGCAATGTCCAAGAGTCTATGTCTCAGATATGGCACCAACGAGAATATCTTCAGGTGCAGGGTTGATGGATCCACTTCAGTCAGTAGACAGCTTGAAAGCAAAATCCATCTCACCGGACAAGATAGTTGGGAGGGTTAAATTCAATGACATCGACTTGAATAACATATACGATGATTCACAGGACCATGTAGAAAACCCAGGTAGTTCTCAATTACTGGTAACTTCAGAAACGATGACCCCAGAAAATCCCATGTGTATACAGAAGGGATCGCACAAGCCTAGCCCTTCTCAGCCAAGTCAGAACTCAGATTCAGCCACTACTCAGTCACCATCTAGTTCCAGTGGAGAGGCTCAGGTATATTAATCTCATAATTTGTCACATTCTGTTTGTAACTGCTTGGTATGATTATGCCTATGAAGGATGCTGAGTCTTACTGCTTACATTCAATGGACTCCTTTTTTGCAGTCATCTGGGTTTAACAAAAAATTCAATCTTGTTTTTGTAACTTGTTTTTTTTTTTTTTTGGTTTTGTTGTTTTCACCCCCTTTTTTTCCGGGATTTTTAGCACTTTTGCCCCCCCTGAACTTCTCATAATTTTGTACTTTCTTCCTGATTTTTTTTTTCTTGGCAATTTAGTCTTTCAATTTGTAAAATAGTAGCAATTGACTCCAATCATTAAATGTATACTAATTTGGGCAGAACCATTGTAGTTTTTAGCACCTTTGCCTCCTAAACTTCTCATAAGTTAGCAATATCGTCCATAACAACTTTTTTTAGCAATTTAATTCCTCAGTAGTCAAGAATTCCCTCAAATTTAGTTCTTACCAGCAATTGGAGCTAATTGCTACTGTTCTATAAGTTCAGGGATTAAAGTTCCAAAAAAAAAAAAAAAGAAGAGAAAAAAGAAAAAAATCAGGGACAAAAGTGTCAAACTGTGATTACAAGAAGTTCAACCGACACAAACTTTTTTTTTTTTTTTTGGTCCTTATATGGTTATTCTTTTTGTTAGCTGTTTATTATTATTGTTACAATTATTCCCTTGATCTTTCATCTTGTCTAGTCTTTTTTTTTTTTTTTGGTTATTGACGGGTAGTTGCTAGCTTTTGAATATATAGGTCTTATACGTGCCTTGTTGTGATGTTGATAAAGAAAGCTCCATTAACTACATTGATAGTTATGGCAGTTCTTAACCAAAAAAAAAAGGATGATGGTGACCTTTTGTGAAAATGTAAATCAAGTGCACTTTTTGTAATGTACCTTAACCACTATTTTCTTTCCTCCTTTTAAATCTTTAGAGTTGCACTGATCGAATTGTCTTTAAACTCTTTGGAAAGGACCCAAGTGATCTTCCTTTTGAGTTGCGAAGACAGGTACATTTTATTCCGTCTTTCTCTTTTTTGCAAATCTTTATTGGATGTTATATTTTACAGGAGTTTGACTTTTCAAATTTTCTTTAATTCTACAGATCCTTAACTGGTTATCCCGCAGTCCTACTGATATTGAGAGTTACATACGGCCAGGCTGCATCATATTGACAATATATCTCCATCTAGAAAAATCAACTAGGGAGGAGGTATACTTATATGCTGATTCCACTTTCGTGATATGTTTACAAAAGGCCCTTTCATCTTAATCAATTGCATTTTTTTTTTCTATTATTTTCTCTGTACAGCTATGCTGTGATCTGGGTTCCATTTTGAAGAGGATGTTAGATGCATCTAACGATCCTTTCTGGAAAACAGGATGGATGTATTCTAGGGTGCAGAATTATGTGGCATTTACATATAACGGTTCGTATATTTGTTGCTTCATTTACATTTTTGTCAATAATTTATCCTTTTACTTGTAAGCAATAAATATTTATTGGAAAAAAAAAAGCATTTCTAATACAAAGTTATAACGTTCTAATTATTATTTGTTCCGCAGGTCAGCTCATCTTAGACACGCCTTTACCTCTAAAAAGCTATAAAAGCTGCAGAATTTCAAGCATCAAACCAGTTGCAGTTTCATTGTCAGACAGAACTCAGTTTGTAGTGAAGGGCTTTAACCTATTTTGTCCCAGCACGAGGTATCTAGTGATGTCTCTAATTGTTTATTCATTACTTGGTTTAATTTCCTATGACATTCCACATTAGTGAGAACGATTTTGTAACAGGTTACTATGTGCATTAGATGGGAAATATCTGCTTCAGGAAACTTGTTATGAGTTGATGGATGATGCTGATGCGACCATTGAGCATGATGAGATCCAATGTCTCAGATTCTCCTGTTCTATACCAAGTGTTACTGGGAGAGGATTCATAGAGGTTCAACCATGTGTCTGATTATTATTCTTCTTTTTTTCTAATATATGCATAATTATTTCAATTAGCTACTTCCAATGCCTAATAACATTAGGTAAATCTTAGTATCACAAAACTAAAACTGCCGTTTAAAAGTTATATTTTCCCAAACTCTCTCACAGATTAGTTTTGGAAGTGTAAAAGTCATTTATTTGGGGGTCAATTAAGGAACTTTTAAGGTGATTATTTGGGAGTCAATAATTCTTCCGAATTTGACCTCAGTTGCTTTTTCGTTTTTTCCTTTTTTTCGAGTTTTTCCTTGTTAACATTATTAATTTTGTAAGTTAAGGGTAATTTGGTCTGTCTGGAAACGTGGTTAGACAACTTAAATTTTACATATATATATATATATATATATTATTTGTTGCAAACTTTATCATACATCTACACATTTAAAAAAAATGTATTCGTTGCATTTGAAGTACTTTAATTAACGGTTATAATCCAAGTCTAAAAGAATAAACACTTGTGGAAAGTATTTTCAAAGAAGCCGTAGAACATAAAAGTGGAGACAATAAGTTGGCTGTGTTACTGGAGAATATTATTCTGCATGAGCCATTTTTCTTTTAAATAGCTGCATAAAAATATCTGCAGTCCTCTTTTAAATGACCAAGGGTCTTATCCCTTCAGATTGAAGATCATGGTCTCAGTAGCAGTTATTTTCCGTTTATAGTTGCTGAGCAAGAAGTATGTTCGGAGCTTTGTATGCTGGAGGGTGCAATAGAGCTGGATGAAACTGGTGATGTTGGAGGGCAAGGGAATAGAGTGGAAGCCAAGAACCAAGCCATGGACTTTATACATGAAATGGGTTGGTTGCTTCACAGAAGTCATGTCAAGTTTAGACTGGGTCATTTGGATCCAAACTCTTCTCCATTCCCTTTCGGAAGGTTCAGGCGGCTGATGGAATTTTCCATGGAGCATGATTGGTGTTTTGTTGTAAAGAAACTCTTGGGCATTTTGTTCGAGGGTACTGTTGACGCTGGAGAGCATCCTTCGATTGAGGTGGCAATATTAGACATGGGTCTCCTCCACAGAGCAGTAAGGAGAAACTGCAGGCCTATGGTAGAACTCTTGTTAAAATTCGTCCCGCATAAAGCTAGGGATGAACAAGGATCAGAGGAGAGCCAAGAGGTTGACAAGGGCAGTTGGAGCTTTTTATTTAAACCCGATGTTGGAGGGCCCATGGGGCTGACTCCTCTTCATATTGCAGCCAGTCTGGATGCCTGTGAGAGTGTATTAGATGCTTTGACGGATGATCCTGGAAAGGTATTCTTATTTACTATTGTTTATTCTTGATATAATAAGAAACGAGATTTTACTAAAAAAGAGAAATTACAAAGAAAAATAACACTTTTTTTAGGACAAAAAGTTCTCAAAGAAAAATACATAAAAGACCAATAAAACCGAAAATAAAGAAAACACGCCAGCACACTTCCAACTTAAGATGGTTACAGATAGCTGGAAGTTCTTGAACACCTAATTTGTCAAAGACAAGAAGGATGCTAGATATTTGACTCCGAAGAGAGAAGCTAGCATCTTTTTCTGTCTCCTCAAAAGATTCTTTCATTCCTTTCCATCCAAATAGCCTAGAAAAGTAGTCAACACCACACACTTCGACATCTCCTTTGCCATCTTACTTGAGCCAAAACCAAGAAGTTTTTCCATCCTTAGGGACTCTTACCTATCAACATAATATTGCAGTGTAAGTTGACTAATTTTATATGTGCACTGGTATTCATCATCATTAGTGATGCATCCTACACGCGCATTATAACCGATTTCCACTCTGTTATGTGGCAGTTTTATTGCCACGTATGGTGACAGAACATTTTTCACCGTATATGGAGGTTTGCGTAATTTTGAGATTGGTATACATTCTTTCAGGTGGGAGTTGAAGCGTGGAAAAGTGCACTGGATGAAACTGGGTTGACGCCGAATGATTATGCATGCCTGAGAGGCCACTATTCCTACATTCATCTTGTGCAGAGGAAAACGAGAAAAGGATTGGAAAGTGGGCATGTGGTGGTCAATATCCCCGGATCACTGTTAGACTCCAACACAGAGCAGAAGCAACCAGACGGGCATAAGACATCAAAAGTTGCCAGCTTGGAGGTTGGCAAGTTCCAAACAAAAACAATGCAGCAACATTGCAGGGTGTGCCAGCAGCACAAGTTAACTTATGGAAACAGGAGTTCACTGGTCTATAGGCCAGCGATGCTCTCGATGGTGGCGATTGCTGCCGTCTGTGTGTGTGTCGCTTTGCTCTTCAAGAGCTCGCCGGAAGTGCTGTATGTGTTCAAGCCCTTCAGGTGGGAAAAGTTGAAGTATGGATCAAGCTAAAATGGTTATTTCTTGTTATTTTACAGAAGCTATTAGCCTTCTTTTGATCTTTATCCATTTCCCTCAAAAGAAAGACTCTAGGAAGCATAACGTATGTACAAAAATGGTGGTATATGTTGAGTATATACAGTGAACAATTTAAAACATGTATAGGAGTAATTTCAGTAATAAAATTAAGGGAGGAAACAGACTGAGTAGTATTTTTGGATTTTGTTACGTGAATTAGATCTTATTACTGAACTGCATTTTGGAGTTAGTTGCCCAAAAAATAAAAAGGGAAGGATTCTGGAGCTCTCAAAATGCTTGGCCTTGAATGGTTCGGACACAATGTAATTTTGCATATAGAAAACCAAAACTCCCAACATATTTTCCAGTTCAAAGCGATACCGTTGTTGCTCTTTGAGGCTAATGACTGTTGATTTATTTGATAATGGCTAAAAGCTAATTGAGTTGGGTACGATTTAGATTTGTAATGACTGAAGTCTACTGAATTGGAATGAATTGGGTCCTGTTCGTCAATTTTCTTTTATTTTTGAAATGGTCATTTACCTTTTTGTATCTCGTCTTTTTGTTGCTCTTTCTTTCCCTTTTTTTTTTTTTTGTTGTTGTTGTTGTTGCTCAAAGTGGTTTTACCTTTCCTCTCTGTTGCTTTGCAAATTGCGTTTCATGTTTTCGGAGATTTTGAAAATTTTCAAATTTTGGTTTCCTTTTGATAATGTCCTTTTCAAGATATAGGAACTTTTTGGGATTTGAAGAGAAATGGTTGGTTTTAAGGGTTCTTTCAGGTAAATGACCATTGTTTTATTAAATTAGTTTAATGGCCATTCCCCTTTCTAATTACTATATCCAAAAAGATAGAAATGGCCTTCATACCCGGATTTTGTACCTCATATGACTATTGTTGTGAAATGTTGCCATGGTTTCCAAGAGTTTTTAAGGGCTAGTGAAAAGGATATTTTATATGACTATTGTTGCTATTTTTTTAGGCAGAAAATAATATTATAAGAAATATTAGTGTCAATTCTTTTGTTATTTTTTTGGTCACTTTTTGTACACATTGACTCCGTTAATATTATATATTATTATTTAAATAGAAAATAAAACAATACTTGTGATAATTGAGAAATGCTAGCGTAATGCTAAGACTATACATGTGTAACATATCCGATTGTTGATAATATCTGCGTGATGCTAAGACAATACTTGTGTAACGTATCCAATTGTGTGTTAAAAAATGTATCATATGTTTAATCTCCATGTAACCGGAGACAATACATGTGTAAGCATCTCCGATTTAATTCTGTTGATAATTGTTGGGGTCAGATTCATACCTCAATTTTAACTGTACACGTGTCTACTCGAGTTAATTAGACTTGAAGACCATCAATGAAATGAAGAAGAACATTTGAATAGATTGAGCAGTCCAAGACAACCCAAAATCAAGATCAGCCTGAGTCGACTACAACTACTCAACAAAACATAAGAGTCGACTGTTCTGAAGAATATTTCGAAACTCTTTCAAGGAATCTTTCATTCTGGGATTTTGGGAAGCTACCAAATCAAATCAAAAGTGGTCCAAATCCCAGAAGATACAAAGTTTACGAGCAGTGGCAGAGCTAGCCTTCAACCTCAGTGGGGGCATAAAAATACTATTATTTTTCAAACATAAATGGCCATCAAAATATACAAAAAAAAAAAAAAAAAAATTAAAGTACAATATATTTCAAGAACTGCCAAATTTATGTAGAGATTTTACTATATGAAAAAAAATACTACCGATAGGGTTTTCTCTTGAAACATCGAATTCTTATGAAAAAAAATCTTATTTTACATACGTTATACTTTAATCTAGTTTTAATCAGATCAATAAGGATACTCCACCATAGAAAGTTTTATTATTATTATTATTATTTTTTATCGTTTATGCGTTGCATTTTGAGGTTATAAAAAATTAATACTTTATATTTTGTAATTTATCATATTTATACTTTCAAATTTCAAACTTATACGCAATTCTTAGGATTCATCTGTCACCGTCAATTTGATCATAAGAAAGAAAACAGTTATCACTCAATTCACAAATTTAAAAACGGCTAAGAAACAAATAAACAGCTAGTCATTATCATCAGAGAAGTGGCAAAAACGTAAGAGAAGTGGCCAAAATATTTTGCTGAAAAACAATAGAAAAGGTCAAAATTCAAGTAAAACACACTACTTTAACAAAGTAAAATATTTTTAATAACATTATTTTCTTAATCTTAACTATTTGAATAGTTAAAATTAGGAAAAAAAACATAAATATTGAAGTCTTTCTGAAATACAACATTCAATACAAGAGACACGAGTATATGGGTGGTTCAGTTGACTGACCGACCAGTTGGTGTGATGACGCAGAACTAATTTTTCTGTTTCTTTTAGTCGTTTAGTGGTTTAGCGGTGATTTTTCACCTTTTTTTTAAAACACTCCTACTTTAAATCACAACTAATAGGTTTTTTTTTTTTTTTAAAAAAAAAAATCACAACCATTAAAAAGTTGTCTACATCTCATTGTTGGAGCCAATTTGTATTGGTGTTTGGTGTTGGACCAATGGTGCTTTCTAACATTAGTCTTCGGTATTTTCTTTCTTTCTTTCTTTCTTTCTTTCTTTCTTTCTTTTCTTCTCTCTTTTTTTTTTTTTTTTTGCTAGTGAAAAAGGATTTTTTAACATTAGTCTTTGGTTATAACTCGCCAGTCATTATTTCTTAACTTCAACACATTCTTTTTATAACAAAAAGAAAAAGAATTTTTTTCATTAATGCAGGATAGCTTCAAAAGTGAAAAAAGTGACATATCATAAGTACTATTAATTATATTTTTTTCTAGGAAATCTCTTACATAAATTTTAGTAAATATATTTTTTGTCAAACGTGTTTTGTTTTAATGAGCAGTTCTCGGGTAAAAGGGCATTGATGATCTTACACGGAAAATGATTGAGACGAGATACATTCGTCCATTAATTTATCATAACAGATGTTGACATTTATTATACCCACTGTATTTGTCATTACAGTAGAGCACGAGTCTCTTATCTCATTTTTATTTTGTCTCTCTACTAATTATTTATTATGTCATTTAAATTTAAAAATTTAATATTATAAATAGTAATAAAATATTAAAAGTACTTAAACTATTCATCAAAATTTTAGAGAGATCAATAATGAATGACAATTTATTCGTGTGCGTAAAGAAAGACATTTGCAATGGTGTTGATAATAAAGTTTGATTCACTATATTAAGGCATGAAAATATGTCAGGTAGATTTTCATGTCCCTAAAAAAACAAAAAAAAAAAACTATGGCCTCATCACTGATTATCACAACCTACAAAATAAACCAGTGATGGAGCCCCTCAATCCCACACTATGGAGACATATTAGCGGAAGTTAAGGAATGAAACAAAACTTTTTTTTTTTTTTTTTTTTTTTTTAACTAATTTGACTACTTGAAACCCAAGGGAAATTTTAAAAACACCCAATGGAAACAATAATAACGATCAAAATAAATCAACAAGAAAAACTTTTTTGACTAATTATACGACCACAAAGTATGATAGTCAAAAAAGTCTTTCAAAAACAATTTGTATAGACGAGGAAAGTCAAAAGTTGTATGGTGTTTTCATAAGTTTTCAAAAACAATTTGTTAGTCAAAAGTTTTTGTCATGCTTGGTAGTTGGTGCTTGGTGGGCCCTAAATTAATTCCAAAGCATTAATCTCTTCAACTTCTCCCCTATTTTCTCATCAATCAAACATGGCTTCTTCTTCTTCCTCTTCTTCTTCTTGTTGGAAAAAGTTGTATGATGTTTTCATAAGTTTCAGAGGCGAGGATACTCGTAATAATTTTACTGGCCATCTTTACTCTGCTTTTTCTCGTAAAAAAATCAAAGCTTACACTGACGAGGAAAGTCTATCGAAAGGAGATGAGATCTCGCCTGCACTTAAGAAAGGAATCCAACAATCAAAGATTTCGGTTGTCGTTTTATCGGAAAATTACGCTTCTTCAACATGGTGTCTAGACGAACTCAATCACATTCTTGGGTGCAAGGTGACAGATGACCAGATTGTGGTTCCGGTCTTTTACAACGTAGATCCGTCGCATGTTCGGAAACAACAAGGGCCTTATGGAATCGCATTTTCTGATCATGAACAGCGTTGTATGGCATTTTCTCATCATCAACAACGCTTTACTGACGAAATGAACAAGTTGCAAAACTGGAGGAATGCTTTGACAACAGTGAGCAATTTAGCCGGATGGGATTCCTCAGCTATTAGGTAATGCTATTCTCTTATTAACTAATTACTACATTATATATAGTCATATTGATTTACATTACTTATATTGTTTGAGAACATAACGTTTTATTTACTTTTATTATTATTATTATTATTATTTATTTTTTCTGCTAATCAACACCCTCTGGTTGAAGCTTTAATTTAAATTGGATCAATATTTGTGCTATGTAGATTAATCAGTGAATTTAGAATACCAAGTTGTACAAAATATTGTCCTTTCACTCTAAAATCACACTAAGAGGAAAAAAAGAAAAATGAAATGCTAAAATATTATGAAATGCAAATGCAAATTAACCTGAGCGTAATAATGTTGGTGAGGTTAAATCAAATAATATAAGACATTCGTTGTCAAAAGTTATATCAAATCTCAACCTATAGAATAGAGACAATCAACTTGGTGTGTAAAGCAAAGATAAAAGTGACAAAATTCAAACACAAAAAACACTCATACTAGAATGATACTCTACATGGTAACAATAACAATGACCATAATTAAATATTTCTTATTACGAGCTGCTATTTATTATTCCTCATTGTCGTAGGTCTGATTCTGCATTAATTGAGGCAATTCTGAAAGATATTCTGGAGAAGTTGAATTGCGTAGCATCATGGGATAATTTCAAGAACTTGATTGGAATTGAGAAAAAATTTGATAAGATTGAATCATTGTTGAACATCGGTTCACTAGATGTTCGTGTTGTAGGTATTTGGGGCATAGGAGGCATAGGTAAGACAACCATTGCTCGCCTCCTATTCAACAGATTTGCATGTCAGTTTGAAGGTTATTGTTTTCTTGAAAACATTAAGGAAGTTTCAAAAAGAAGTGGACTGGCCAATTTACGAAAACAATTTTTTTCTGAATTATTGGGGGAAGAAAGTTTAATGATGGTTAACGAGTTTGTAAAGGATAGGCTTGTGCGAACCAAACTTCTTATTGTTCTTGATGATGTAGATAGTGCAGAACAATTAGAATATTTAGCTGGAGATCATGGCTGGGTTGGTCCTGGTAGTAAAATCATTGTCACAAGTAGAGATGCTCAAGTGCTCAATAATATCGGTGCTCATGAGATATACAAGGTTGAGGAATTAACTTACGTTGAATCACTTCAACTTTTTTGTTCAAAGGCTTTTCGAGGAAACTCTCTCCCAACAGATTACGTAGTGTTGTCAAGAAGGGTACTCAATTATGCTCATGGTGTTCCGTTGGCCCTTAAAGTTTTGGGACATCATCTTTTTTCGAAGGCCACAATGGTATGGGAAAGTGCATTGGATAAATTGAAAGAAGCTCCAAATGCAGAAATCCACAAAGTACTGAGGATAAGCTATGATGGTCTAGAACTTAATGAGAAGGAAATATTTCTTGATATCGCTTGCTTCTTCAAAGACGAGGAAAAAGAATTTGCTGAAAGAATACTAGATGCTTGTGATCTTCATGTAAAGATTGGAATTGAAATTCTCATAGATAAGTCTCTCATAACTCTTCAGGAAGATAGAATATCGGCACATGATTTGGTACAAGAAATGGGTCGGGAAATTGTTCGTGAAGAAAGCAAAGAGCCTGGAAAGCGCAGTAGGTTGTGGTTCGCTAAAGATATCTACGGTGTCCTGAAATACAACACTGTAAGTGTTACCTATAATGAAGCTTTACATGGAAAAAATAGAAGGAAAAACTAGTTTCAAATGGTTAGATCATAAGCACCATATATATATATATATATATATATATGCAGGTTATTGGCACTATTAGTCCCTGAATTTTGAGCGTTGTGACACTTTGATCCTTAAACTTTTAATTTTAGCAGATTACTCCCTGATCTTTTATTTTGTCACAATTTTCATCTCTAACACTAAAATTGACAAAGGACTTCTGAAATCTTAACATAGATGATCACATCCACGTTTTATAATAAGTGAGGTTTACATAAATAATTACATTAAGTGCAAAATATTCTGATGTCAATGCAGTTTTACAACAATGAAGAGAATATTTTGCACGTAATATAACTGTTTTTATAAATTTCAAGTTATCACGCGATGGACACGTGATTATTGCTATTAAATTTTAGCAATCCTTTGCCAAATTTTAATGTTTGTGAAAAAGAATATATATATATATATATATATATATAATTATGTTTTCTGAGAAGAATGTGACAATATTATTCTACACATGCATACATATTCAAATATGTACTCACAATGTTGTTTGTACAGTTTTTTATCTTCTTATAATTATTATGGAAGTTTTTTCATGTCATATAGGATTATGATCTCTATTTTCTTCCAAAATTCTCAGGGTACAGGAGCGATTCAAGGGATGTCCCTAAAGATGATTGAACTTAGCAATGACATATACTTGGATCCTCGAGTTTTCAATAAAATGTGCAATCTAAAATTTCTCCAGTTTTTCCGTCAGAACGGTTGTGTCAACAAGTTATACCTTCCTCAAGGTCTGCATTCTCTTCCTGATGAGCTTAGATATCTCCGTTGGGATTGTTATCCTTTGAAATCTTTGCCTCTACGTTTTACGCCGCAAAATCTAGTTGAACTGCACTTAGAAAATAGTCAGCTTGATAACCTTCCCAATGAAATCCAGGTACATGCTTAAATTCTAGGCTCTAGCTATAATTGTTTTGAATATCTTGTGTAGAGGATATTTTCCATAGTAATTTGATAATGGCATTTCTCTTTGGTGACAGCATTTTGACATCTTACAAGTTCTAAATCTCAGTGGTTGTAGAAATCTTGACAAGTTTCCAGAGCTTCCAAAAACTATAAGACAACTATACATGAAGGAGACGGCAATAGAGAATGTGCCTCAATCGATTGAGTATCTTTCTAATCTCAAAATTTTCGATTTAACAATGTGCAAAAGGCTTAAGAGTCTTGCGACCAGCATTTTTGAGTTGAAACTTCTTCAACGCCTTGACCTCTTCGGTTGCTCAGAATTAGAGTACTTGCCGGAAATCTTAGAGCCTATGGTGCATTTGACAGTTCTTACACTAGCTGCATCTGGGATTAGAGAGTTGCCCTCGTCAATTGAAAATCTCTCTGGGATTATTGTTTTAGATTGTGCGCGTTGCAAAAATCTAGAATTTGTCCCAAACAACATCTACAATATGCGCCTTGAAACAATATCGTTCCATTGTTGTGCAAAGCTTGAAAGTTTGCCTCCATTGTCAAGCACTGGCTTGCTCCTTTTGACTCTACTAGATTTGAGTTACACCAGTATAAGCGAAATCCCAAATTGGTTATTCTCTTTGCGCGTATTAAGAGAATTGCATCTATGTGGAACAAATATCAGTAGAGTACCGGAAAGCATCACATTTTCTTTGTTACGTGATTTGTACGTAAGAGATTGCAAGTTCCTTCAATTTCTGCCCGAGCTTCCATTCTCTATAAACCTAGTTGATGCAAGGGGATGCACATCATTGGAAATGGTGTCAAATTCACGGCTTGCTCTCTTTGTTTTTTTGGGGGGAAGGTTCGGGAATATCGCAGGAGATCCGTTTGTGACATTTCTATTCTATGATTGCAAAAAGTTGAATTGCAAGAACATGTTGACTGAGTTTCAGATTAGAGCTTTGTGCATTGCAGTTAATTTTGAGGTATGTCCTTTTCCCTCCATCCAATTTGAGCCATTTTTATTTCGACACTTTAATCTTAACCTTTCGACACGAATTCATGTGGAGTTGTCATATTTTCACTGGTAGCTGCAATTTTTTACAGTTAATTGACATACAAATTATTTTAAATACTAGACTGGGATTTAAAAAGTTGGGATTAGAGTTTGAATCTTTACCATTAATCTTTTATTTTTAAAAAATATTAATAGATAATGTGTTCATGGTACAGGAACGAGATAATGATAATGCAGTTACTATTTGTTTCCCGGGAAATAAAGTTCCAAACTGGTTCGACTACAAAAACGAGGGATGTTCAGTAAACATAAAGCTTCCTCCAAACTGGTATGACACCATATTCATGGTTTTTTGCTTTTGCTATGTGCTCGCATTCAAGAAAAACGGTACGAGTGTCGGTAATATTCTCGACGACGATTCTTGGTTCGAGTTAGAATGTGAGATGAGTGTCAAAACCAACTCTGGTGTAAGGAGCCTAAGGAAATTTCCGTGGCATGTAAACTCTGCTGGAGAGAAAAAAGTTATTGATTTGAACCATGTCTTCATGGTGACACATTCATATGTGAATAATAAATTAGACCTTTCTTCTGCAACAGAGATTTCATTTGACTTCCGAGTAATTGATTCGGTAGAGATACAAGTAGAAAGGTGTGGGGTCCGTATGGTATATCTACAAGATGCAGTGGATTTTGTTACCACTTACAGCTCTCTGCTAGGGAAATCAAATAAACCTCAACGAAGTAAATCAAAATATCATTGATGGTCGAACTGTGTTCTCTTTTGTTCATGACATGTGAATTAGTTTTATTAGTCATTTTAAAAATATACCACGTAGTGTAATTTTCTATTTATTTTTTTTAATTTGATAGATTGAACTGAATGAACGTGTTTGGAGGACTCTATTAGTGCATTGTATTATATAAATGTTAGAGAAAGGAGACAAATATTCTTAAAGTACATTGAGTCCGGACTTTTTCTCTACTATTGATTAATATAATTTTTGTTCAAGTAATTATATTAGTTAAAAGGGTATTAATTAACAGTAAAAAGTAAAACTTCAGACCCATACACTCTAAAGGTAAGTTCAATAATTTTCTCTAAAATGTATGCTATGACTATTGTATTGTATAAGCTATATAGATGGAACACTAACATGGATCATGTTAGAATATGACTCATTTGTTGGTCTATTTTGGATTGTATTATTTTATACCAGGTCTATGGTCCATGTCGGGATTGGAGTCAACTCGCGGTGGCGGGTTTGGGTCGAGTCAAAGTTTAAAAATTAAGGGTCCACAATGTAAATTTTATTTTTTAAAAATTAGATTTGGTCCTTAATTTTTATAAATTGCATTTTGGTCCCATAAGTTTTAAACATTTAGATTGACCCTTTAATTTTTAAAATAAATATCTGACCGCTCAGATTTTGAAAATACATTTTGACCCCTCAATCTTTTAAAATTTATATTTTAACCAATTTTTTTATTATATTTTCAAGATTTTTTAAAACCTTTACAAAAAGTTATTATATAGACCAGTATCATAAATAAATTATACAAAGCAATACAATGTAAAAATACACCTCACATTTTGTTAGGTTATAAACTTTTTTAATTTCATGACACTGAACACTCTATTAACAATACAACAAAACACAATACACCTAATATAATACAAGCTACCAAACATAATAATAATATATATATATATATATATATATTACAGCAATTCCCCCTCACTATAGCCCTAATAACAATGTGTCCCTTCCTTTTAGATTACAATAATAAAATGTGTTGCTCAAAGAATGAGAATGTTTAATAATTTAGTGTACAATCACTTTGCTAGCTTCCCCATGTGCAATCAAATTGAAGTGGATGGAGAAATTCTTGTTTTTTAAAGTTTTAAAAGATTTTTAATTTAGTTTTCCTACACAATTGTAGTTTTTAAATTATATCAACTTTTACATTCAAATAGAATTACGTTAAAAAAAATCAAATAGAATTACAAAAATCCCCCTATGTTATGTACCACAAGCCAATTATGTATCAATTTTTGCTAAAAAAACCTAATAGGAGTTTTTTCACTAAAGTCTCGTTCGCTTTACAGATTTAAGTTTTTCAATTTGAGTTGAAATGTAACATTTTCTGAGAGTTTTTAATTATAGCAGAAGAAGTTAGATGTAACATTTTATGAGAGCTTTTAACTGTAGCAGAAGAAGTTAAACGTAACATTTTCTAGGAGCTTTTAACTGTAGAAACCTAGAACTAAAAACTCGAATCGATGAAATGAATAAGACCTAATACTTTATTAGTCATCGGGAAAGGATGTGACATTTTAAAAAATACAAGAGATATCGTTACGATAGCTATAGTTGAGAGGCAATTTTTACAATCAATCCATATGCAAAATTATTGGTTATTTAAGAACCTCAAAATTTTTAATTCTCAACTTTGATGTTACTCAATAGGACACAGACAAAATACCGATGGCATGTTCTAATCTTTTCACAACTCAAATCACAATTTAAATTTTTTGCTCCACAAACCAAGTAATGATGGCATTTAATCTTTTCACAACTCAAATTTTTTTACTTCAGTATTTTATCTTACAAAATTCAAATTCAATTTTAAATTTGAATTTAAAGTTCTTAACTCAAGTTGTAAAAAGAACGTGCAAGCCCATTTGGTTCATAGATTAGAACCATGAGATTATAACTATTTTTTATTTACGTGTGTTTTTTGTGAAGAAAAATACTGTAACGAACCATGAATTATGATTCAATTCAGAAAACGAATCCTCCAACCAAACGGGCTTTAAAATTCAGGTCCATTTTCTCTAAAATGAAACAATCACAAGAATGTTTAGGTTCCTATGTCCATTGTTTTGCATTTAGATTTCCGTGGCTTTTTTATTATTTTCTTTCGCGGAAATATACTTTAACATGATAAACATGCTCGTACGTTTCAATAGATAAGTGGTTTGAAAATGAGATAGCAAATAGACAAACATAATCAGGAATTTGCTAGGAAATTTGAAGGTAAAATCTGTAAACTGTGATTCCTAAAAAGAAAATATATATATATCCCTCAAAATTACAAAGCTCTGAGTTGACGTCAATATCTTCGTTTTGATGGTAAAGAAGACAATAAAACTAAAGATTATTTCACCTAAAATATCATATCAAAACCAGAGAACAGAAAGCACTTGAGCAAAAGTTCTTTAACAATGCGGAAGCATCAGAAAATTGCAATCCGCGTACTCGTTAAAGCAACAGAAAAGACTTATGCGTGGTCCACCGTCAACTCATGTCGGATCCCCACCATCACTCTCATCAATGTCCATCTTGATTCGCAGTATATGCAACTGCATAAAACATGAAACTCCACTAAATTTTGAGATATGCAAATGAAAACGAAAGCAGGTTAAATAGTGGAGAGCCAATGAAACCATACCTGAAAATGACCATCTTAATCATCTAGGTAATAATAGGATCCAGCAGATTTCTGCTCCCTGTCTTTGGTTGACTCGAGTTTGTTGATTCTGGGGCGGAAATTAGTTGGATCCCGTCTAAACGTGATGTCCAGATGCTGCATAGAAGCAAAAGAGTCACTAAGACATTGTTTCAAGTTGCATGCAAATAGAGAAGAGCAAACAAGGGATAAAAAGCTGCAATGCTTACAGATAAAAAGAGATTCATCCCAGTCAACAACGATTGTGGAGAATTGGCCGTACAATCAATCGATGGCCTCCCCTCGTACACAATAACTCTATCTGCCAGATAAGTTGCCATGATAAAATCGTGCTCAACCACAAAAGCTGTTTTCTTTGCGTGGAGTATAAACCTCTTTATGACCTTTGAAGCAACAATTCGTTGCTCAGAGTCGAGATAAGCACTAGGTTCATCGATTAGATAAATATCAGCAGGCTGCATGAATAAAAAAACCGAATTTCGCATTAGGCTACGTAAATATTAACATGCTTTCTTGGAATCATGACAAACCCTATTTACGTCGTGCCAAAACCACAAAATAAATAAATAAATAATAATCTCACAATTGAACCATAAGTGTCTTTCTATAAATGCGCCAAGACAATCTAGTAAAAACCTCAAACCTTGTTTACGTACAAGAAGGTGGATTATTCTTCAAGAAAGGAAAGATAGCAAAGGCATAATTGACATGATAATTGATGAGCACGTTGAAGCAACACAAAAACACAAACATGTAGGCTAATAAGTTTGGTTACTACAACAGCCAATGACTACTAGGCATGGGCTAGGGTGGGGTGGGGCTTGGGTTTAGGAGGCCACGTGTTCAATCCCGTGTTCTATCAAAAAAAAAAATTTACTACTACAGCGCTGCAGATTTCACCTTATATCAAACCTATGATATATGTTATGATATGGATCGTGTAATTACTTTTTCTTTTTTGATACCCAGAAATCCCTCAAACTCTCTTTGTGAGCTAGTTTAAGCAGAACAATATTAAAACATCTCTCCATTTTTATTTAACTAGAGTTTAGAAATAGGGTTAGGTTCCCATTATATAGTTTCCTTATTTCTTTTTGATTTGGTTTTCTAATTTGTTATTTGTTTTTCTATAAAGAGTGGATTGTATAAATAGTGCAAAATACCTAGCGCTTTTGTGGGCTTCAACAGATCCATCTTTGATTTTGATTTTGTTAAGATGGGATGACGTGCTGAGACAGATTATGCGTATCTATCTCTTTTCTATATTGTTATGTTATCTTTTTGTTTTTCCTTGCTTTCTGTTCTTGATGGATTCCTCATCCATTGGGAACTTCATTTGTAATCTTTTGTTATTTTAATGAAGTTCTTAGTTCTTTGTCCGCGGGGAACCAAAACAATGAGCACATAAATCTACCATATGATACGGTTATGCAATCTACCAGAGTATATCACTATACTACAATTACAAAAATTACCTTTCCAAGGCACAGACACAATGCAACTCTTTGCAGCTCTCCTCCCGAAAGATTAATGAATGAATATTGAGATTATTGGTTTTCCTTGAATTCTTGTTTAAGGGCTAGTTTCCCATTATAGAGTTTCCTTATTTCGTTTTGATTTAGTTTCCTAATTTGTTATTGGTTTCTCCACGAATAGAAGTTTGCAATTTCAATTCAGAGAATGATTAATGAATGAATATTGAGATTATTGATTTTCCTACACTGGCGTTCTTGTTTCCTCTCTAGAATCCTTTGTTTCGCTCCTTGATTCTATTCCTCCCTCTGGGGAATCTATTCCTCCCTCTGGGGAATCTATTCCTCCCTCTAGGGATTCTATTCCTTTATCGTGTTTCAAATCTTCTCTCTAAATCTCTCTCTTTTATCTAGGTTCCACGACCTACATCACTACTACCAATGAACCTGTCTCTCCACTACCAGCTAGGATCCCAACAACCAAAACAATGAGCACATAAATCTACCATATGATACGGTTATGCAATCTACCAGAGTATATCACTATACTACAATTACAAAAATTACCTTTCCAAGGCACAGACACAATGCAACTCTTTGCAGCTCTCCTCCCGAAAGATTAATGAATGAATATTGAGATTATTGGTTTTCCTTGAATTCTTGTTTAAGGGCTAGTTTCCCATTATAGAGTTTCCTTATTTCGTTTTGATTTAGTTTCCTAATTTGTTATTGGTTTTTCCACGAATAGAAGTTTGCAATTTCAATTCAGAGAATGATTAATGAATGAATATTGAGATTATTGATTTTCCTACACTGGCGTTCTTGTTTCCTCTCTAGAATCCTTTGTTTCGCTCCTTGATTCTATTCCTCCCTCTAGGGAATCTATTCCTCCCTCTAGGGATTCTATTCCTTTATCGTGTTTCAAATCTTCTCTCTAAATCTCTCTCTTTTATCTAGGTTCCACGACCTACATCACTACTACCAATGAACCTGTCTCTCCACTACCAGCTAGGATCCCAACAACCAAAACAATGAGCACATAAATCTACCATATGATACGGTTATGCAATCTACCAGAGTATATCACTATACTACAATTACAAAAATTACCTTTCCAAGGCACAGACACAATGCAACTCTTTGCAGCTCTCCTCCCGAAAGATTCATAACTTCTTGATCCATTAACTGCTCTATAAGAAGAGGCTTCATCACATCTGATACAAATTGGGGATGTGTGTATGAATCACGTATTTTCTGATGCAGCAAGTGTCGGACTGTGAATTGAAACTTGGGACTAATTTTCTGAGGCTTGTAAGAAACATTAAACTCGGGTATCTCCACATCTGAACCTTCTACTAAATCAGGTTTCAACAAACCAGCCTGCAGGTTGAAACAAAAAATGATTATAAGTCAAACTATTAAAGACAGACAATCTGACAAATTAAAAGTTCAGCTGCGGCCTATCAAGGATTCAGGAAAAGAATACCAGCATACGAATAAACGTTGTCTTCCCTGTCCCATTTTCACCCAGCATCACAATAATCTGTGAATCGGTGAATTCGCCCTCAAGCACGCGAAGCTTAAAATTCCCCTGAGTTTTAGACATGGTTGGATATTTGTACCGTGCATATGTCTCGATTTCTTCTGCACTCTCTTGTGGAGTCTCGGCAACCTAGAGAAGGAAACCAAGTTAGAACCAATTCAACTAAATCCACAAAGCTAAAAATGAAAAATCTACCTTGAAAGTAAGAGATTCATCTCGGAACCGAAGATTTTCAGTGGGCACAAATCCAGCCAAGAAGATATTGATTCCCTCTCTAACTGAGAAGGGAAGTGTGACAACTCCATAAGCACCCGGTTTCCCATATAAACAGCAGATGAAGTCCGACAAATAATCTAGCACACTCAGGTCATGCTCAACAACAATTACATAGCTGAAAAATAAAAAGCAGTACATTTACTTTTTAGGACAAAACAGTCTCTAAACTCAAAAACACATCAATACGCTACTGAGATTCTGCCTCAAACACAAACCAAGAGGAATATTTTAGTGCTAGAAAAAGAAGAAATGAAGAAATAAAACCTGTTAGGCCTGAGCAAGGATCGGATAACTTGGGCTGCTTTAAGCCTTTGTTTGACGTCAAGATAACTGGAAGGCTCATCAAACATATATATCTCAGCATTTTGTATGGCAACGACAGCAATAGCAAATCTCTGAAGCTCTCCACCAGATAGGTCTCCAACATTACGATCTATAACCTGGTTTAGCTCAAGATCAGCGCAGAGTTCACTCTTCACTTCTCTCTCATCTTTTTGGTCGAGCACCTGGCCCACATTGCCTTGAACTGCTTTTGGGATGTGATCAACATACTGAGGCTTTATGATAGCCTAAAAAACCCAAAACATATTAGACATTGCGAGAATCTGAAAGATGTAAGCTTAATTGAAAAATAAAGGTACCTTCAAATTATCTTCGAGGATGCGAGTAAAATAATTTTGCAGCTCAGATCCTCGGAAGTAGGTCAAGATTTCTTGCCAGTCCGGAGGATTCTGAAAAAGAATGCCAATAGTATATCATTAATCATACGGTAAGAAATTAGTATGCAAAAGCAAAAGAGTAGGTGTAGTATTACGTTGAAACGCCCCAAATTTGGTTTGAGTTTTCCGGCCAAAACTTTGAGGGCAGTGGATTTCCCAATACCGTTGGTCCCAACCAGCCCCAAAACTTGACCCGGCCTTGGGACCGGTAACCTGTAATTTAAATTTTTCTTTTTACATAATATATATATAAGAAAAGGACTCCACTCAAGCAGTAGTTGTATTAAATGGAAAAGAAAAATGAACAAATACACAACCTGTGCAATTTGAATGTGTTCGGGCCATAACGATGGGTGGTATCTTTGTCCAAATCTTTGGGCAGGTTAATAATCTGAATTGCTTCAAATGGGCATTTCTAAAACGAAAGTAAAAGAAACCTCAATCAGATTAAGAGAAAGAAATTAATGAAAAAAAGATTATAATATTATTCTAACGAATAAGTATTGGTATTGAACAAACCTTAACACAGATACCACAACCAATGCAGAGCTCCTCAGATATGAAAGCAATCTTAGATGCAGGAGTAACCTCGATACACAGTTTACCTACAAAACATACATATTTTTATCTATATCGATATATGAAAAAAAAAAGGTAACAATTTAGGGATTGTGATGATAAAAAGAATACCAGTTTTGACGACAGGGCAGCTTTTCTTGCACTCTTGACGACACTTCTTGGGCTTGCATCTGTCGGAGCTCACGATCGCAATACGCGTCAACCGATCCGCCATACCTGTCGCTCTCTACGATTCACCAATATCAATCAATGAATTTTGATGATGAATTTCGAGTTCCAGGGTTTCAATTGTACCCAAAACTCACATATATAGACGAAAAGGAAAAGACCAAAAGCTACAGCCATAAATATCGGATTCTTACCGTTCAAGTGTTGGCTGGGATTGGCGGCGACGCAGCGTCGTCGAGCTGGGTTTGGCGGTGATGGCGCGACGGATGAGGGAGAGCAAAACCCTAGCGCCTTTCCTTCTTCTGCTCTTGTCGTGTGGTGTATGCGTGTATACTCCGTTTAACATTTTCATTGTACCCTTTTATTTATTTATTTATTTTATTTGTAATTCTCACTTTGCTACTTACACACTTTACGTTATCAAATACTTTATCATTAAAATATATTGTTAAGCTCAACTCAAATTATAAGTTGAATTATTTACATGCTATTTATATTTTAATAGAGAAACAATTAAAGAAAATGATTATAATTATTTTGCAAAAATGATTTAAAAAAACATATAAATTGTAAAGAAAAAAAAAGTTACAAAAGTTGTAAATAATGTTCAAGAAATATGAACATTCTGTCATCTTTCAACAATTTTACCATCACTCTATCATTATCAGGAATAAAATAAAAATAAAAATTTAAATCTATTATCTATTATTTGTCAATTACTATTATGAAAGAAAGAGTTCCTCTTTTTCACTATTTGTTTTTTAGTAATTATATTTACACCCCAATACTTTATTAATACCCCACCAATTCATAATTTGAGTTTATTACAATTTTACTCTATATTAAAATTACATTAAAACTCATTAATATATGTCACGTTAACTAGGAAATTGAATTCTTTTAAAGCAACTATAATTAGAAAGTAATTTTTAAATGAATAAAATAAAAACATACTCCTACATTTTTGGTTAAAGCTAATTTCATCTTCATAAATCCTAAAATTTTCTCTATCAAATTCTTAGATAATTTCAATGGAGGTTCCGATTGAAACTTAAAATAAATAAATAAAAAAGCATGTCTTTTAAAGAGCCAACAAATGCTAAAATAATATCAATTCACAATCTGTAAAATTTATATATGGATTTCTCTCTATTTTTGTTAAGGCCAAACATACGCTTGGTGAAAGACATTATTGCAGATGAAAATTATTGTTTTCGGAGATGGAGGAGGAGGTAATACAAAAACAATTAATAAATAAAGGTAAATGGAAACTTTTTTTTTTTTTTTTTTTGCTGAAAGGTAAATGAAATTGTAAGGTTTTTAGAAAGAAAATATAACATCAATAATTGAACGATATTATATAATTTTATAAATTAAATCAATATTAAAATTAGGTGAAGGTATGAGAGGTTTAAATTAGATATTATGAAAATTATATCTATAAAAAGATAGATTTTTTAAATTTTTATTTGAGGATTATTAATTAGTGGAGGTATTAATAAATTTTTTGTGTGCAAATATAACTACTCTTTGTTTTTTTATCAAGTTATTTTTACTTTCCTCCGTAAAAACTTTATACTTTAAACTGAAATATATTAGAGCGTCTCCAATACAATGCTATAATTAATATGCTAATTGCAAATTTAACATTTGAGTGCAAAAAATGCTCTCTAATACAATGTTATTTGTTGTGCTAAATTTTTCATATGTTATACTTTTTGGCAAATTTCTCACCAAGTAGCATATCGGAAATTTGACATTTAATTACTATTGGTTGAAATGTTTATTTTTTTCATATAATTAATGTAACTTTTGCATTTACTAATTATTTTAAAAATAAAAGTTTTTAAAATAATTATAAAATGCAAAAAAAAAATTTATTTTTACAACTTTCAAAACTTAATACTTATAGAAAAAGTAGATTTAGCATTTTAAATAGTATTATATATTGGAGAAAAATAAAAATAGCATACCATATTATAATCTTTTATGCTAAATATACAATTGTTATTAGCATTTACATTAGAGATGGTTTTAAAATACATTTTCCTTTTAATTTTTATATGTTTGTGATATTTACATCCAATACATAATCTGCACTTAACGTTTTTTCTTTGAAATCTTCTTAAATATTATTTTGTAAAAGGTATTTTTTATAAATATTGTTCTTTTATTCCTTTTTATATTATGATAATTTTTCTCAAATATGTCCATACTTGAATATTTTTGTAAACAATCCTATAAATTCATTGTTTCCTATAATTGCACCCCCAATTTTCTTTTCAACAAATGTGCCTTAGTTAAGCATCTTTTTCTGCTCATATGCTTCCCTAATTAGATTTGTATTTGAGTGGATCTCATCGAAATTTTTTTTCCGTTAAATACACTTCATCTCACATCTTATCTTATCTTACATATAAATAAAATCGCCAATGTGATCATTCGTCTTCCACCTTTTTCGTTTGTTTTCTTCCGTTGTTGTTGTTGTTGTTTTTTTTTTGGCTCCTTTTTGTTTTGTTTTTTTATCATTTTTACTTTATCATTTTTTTCTTATTTCCTTTTTTAGACTATTTTTATTTTTATTTTTACTCTTTTTTTCCCCTTTTTGCCAAATATTTATTAACAGTTTAATATTTTTTTACGGTGTAATTGTTTAGGGTACTTTTTTTCCATACTATTATATAAGAAACAATAATATTTCAGTTATAATATAATTAAAAATTACAACTATATTAATTATACTATAATATAATATATGTAATTACAATATAATATATAATTAATATCATATTTTATTAAATAAATATAATATAATTAATATATTATGTAGTGATAATATGTGTAATGCACTATAATAGATAATAATATTGAAATTATAAAATTATATAAATATTTAATTATATTAATTATTATAATTAATATAATATACCATAATTATATTAATAGAATATAATATAGCTATAATA